CCAGAGTTTACATCATGGGTCATCAACCTGGTCCTAACCGCCCACTAGTTGGCATTTTGGGATTCCAGGTGGGCGCTAGGGATTTCCTCATTTAGAGAGATTGGGTGGGCGGGCGGGCGGGTGCGAGCCGCAGGTACCCCTGCGACCGGGTACCGCCATCACCATCTGCGGCCCTGGCCGCAAACCGCCGGGGCCACCGTCCAAGGGGTCCATCGGGTGGCCCATGCTGTCAGGGCAACCCGATGGATGTGGATTGTAAGGGGGCCCGGTCAGCGCTGGGCGCTTTAACAGCGCGACCGGGCCCCCTGTAATTACATCACAGAGCCGGGAGGAAGTGACTGCACGTCACTCCTCCCAGCTAACACTGAGAGCCAGGCAGGAAGAAGACTAGGGAGTCAGATTGGGAACTCTGACTCCCATCCACCTGAGCCACCACTGGACCCCAGGGAAAGTCACCCTCCTGCACCTTAAAGGTAGGAAACAGGAGGGTGACTTAAATATAATGTGTGTGTTTGTTTGTGTGTATGTGTCTTTGTATGTATGTCATGTGTGTGTGTGTGTGTGTGTGTGTATCTTTGTATGTATGTCTTGTGTGTGTGTCTTTGTATGTATGTCTTGTGTGTATGTATGTGTGTCTTGTCTTTGTATGTATTGTGTGTATGTGTCCTTGTATGTATGTGTGTTGTGTGTGTATGTGTCTGTATGTATGTGTGTCTTGTGTCTGTGTGTATGTGTCTTTGTATGTGTGTATGTTTGTATGTATGTGTCGTGTGTGTATGTGTGCCTGTCTGTGTGTCTGTATGTATGTGTGTGCCTGTCTGTTTGTATGTATGTGTCTTTGTATGTGTGTCTTGTGTGTGTGTCTGTATGTGTGTGTCTGTATGTATGTGTGCCTGTCTGTTATAGTGGGCTATAGTAAGTGGGCTACCTATCTCAGCCTTCCTACTGGGAATTGCTATAAGTAAGGTTAAAAAATAGAAAAAAGGGAAAAAAAAAGTTGGGGAGGGGAATTGAGGAGGGAGAGGAGGGGAGCTGACGCACAGATGAGAAATCATATTATGCGCAAACAGAGAAGTCGTGTGAATATCACCGAAAGAGGAGACCTTCGTTTGTTCCTTACGAAAATCGAACCAGATATCAAATATTAAGTGTCGCAGCATCAACCTCAAGGATCTCATTAATCACTAGTAAAGGTAATTTCAATTTACTGTATTGTTTTCTCATTAAACTTTATAAAGTTAAAAACATTAAAAAACATGCATTAAGTAGAAATAAAAAGATAAAAATACGTACATTTATTTATTTTTAAACGCCCTCCTTTCTAAAAAATATTCTGCACTTGCGTGAAAACTGGTGGGCAGTAAGGAAATTTTTCCATCAAGAAAGATGCATTAGTGGGCGGTAGGTAGAAAAAGGTTGACTACCACTGGTTTACATATTCATAGAAATACAGTTGTATGGCATGGATAAACAGTGCACATTTTTAAATTTAAGAAGAGTGAACAGTAGTATAGTGCCAGTCATAGCGTGCGTGGCTGTAGAAGCTTATCCTCTTATTAGGTTAGTAATAGTGTCCTGGACACTTGTGAGTCATGTGGAGTTTAGTAGTAAAACAAGCTTATAAGACAGGAGTAAGAGATACGTCTAGGGCCGTGAAAGGTAATATGGTTAGGTATGTCATATCACTGTAGTTGATTAACCATGTAGGAGCTGTATAAACATTCAAATTGTATGCCAAGATAACACAGGCTAGTTAGACACGGATACTAGACATTGCTTAAGGAAAGGAGGCCTCCAGATATTTTAGTAACTGGGTGCTATGTGTTAGTGGGATCAGATGGAGTAGGAGACATATCAGTACAGGCATAAAGCATAACTTATGTGGCTCTGGAAAGTGTGAGTGAACCTTTTTTTCTCCACATATTGTAAATAGGTTTCAACAGTATACACTATGTTGTTTTCTTGTGTATATATTATATATAGGGTCCAAAGTTACTGTCTGTTGCTGAAAATAGGACCTTTACAAGATTTTAAAGGTAAAATATTCCACTGTTTGTGCGCTTTCACCTTTTTTTTCTGTTCAATAAAGCAAAATATTAAATCTCATGCAGTAGTTAGATAGTAGTACTGTGTGTGAGAAGGAACAACAGGGTATTGTTCAGGCATATCTAGTGTCCCCCTGTGTCTGTCTTACTCAGCCTATGCCTGTAGCTGTCAGGCAATGTCCAGACCTATTTGCAGGTTAGCATGATTCTTCCAGCATGTCTCTTCGGCTCATGCGTCGGTGGGGACTGACTCCCTGTATCTGCAGGCCTTCCTCTCTGTGCGAGCACATAAGTGTGTGAGCCCGTTTGATGGGTCATCCTCTGCTGCCCTTGGTGTCATGCTGGTGCTCGAGCCGCCAGTAGGGGTTATAGCTGGGGCGATTGTCCCTGCTCTTTGGGCGTTGAACTGTCCCCTTTCTGTCACTGGTTCTCCTGATGCTTTAGGGTGGTGAGTATCCCATGTGGGTCTGTTATGGACAGATGAATTAAAATAAAATGGCTATTTACTAATGTCTATTTATTCTCTGTTCACTATGTTAAAACTGGCTTCTAGAGTAAATATTCCCTTCCCCCCCTACAATGTGGTCAGCTGCTGTTTACTATGTAAATTCCTCACATCCTGCTAGCCTCCCCTCCCCCCTTCAAATCAATAAAACCTTGTGTAACCAAAATTCCTGTGATAACTCCTCCCCCACTACCAGTTAACAGATATATGCCATGTATAGCTAAATAGAGGATCATTGGTTTAGAACTGATAGATACCACTCACTCCCCCTCCCATCGTGTATCCAAAAGTGTGTAATGATGACACTACATTCTGTAGGGGGGTTTAAACAAGAGCCCCCTTTCTCTGTTAACCAATTGGTGAATGTATACTGTATGTTTAAACTGTGACGTATTTTTGCTTTAAGAAGGAGCCCCCACTCCGGGGAATAAAGCATTCCTGGGTTTTTCACTGATCAGAAACTTTGTCTCCGGTGTGAATTACTTCTAGGGAAAGCGTGCACGCATTAATTAATCAATTTGGAAGGTGTAGATAGACAAATAATCAAAGTTTTCTTTGATCCAAAACAGGTCCATGGAGCCGGGGTGGAGCTGTTCCGAGGTATGTCATGTCTGCGAGTGTGGGGCCCTCCGACTTGGTGTCGTCTCCCTGCTGGGACTGTATGCTTTAGGGGGGAGCGATGCAGAGGGGGCCCCTGGGTGAGCCTCTGTTGAGACTTTGGGCAACTCACCCGTGGTCGAGAGTTGGGGAGCTAGAGCTTGCGTCGGGTTTCCCACCTCCGTCTCCCTGCTTTCCAGATCCCTCTCGGGGCCCATGTCGGCATTGCGGGCTTCTGTGTGGAGTCCCTTGGAGCTGATGCCAATGGGACCTCCTCAGGGGTGCCCACGCGGCTGTATATCTTGGCCCAGAAGTCCGCCAATAGTTGGTCTATCCTTTCCGACAGTGGGAGCAGGTAGGGCTCGGGTACTTGGGCCCGCGTGGCTTCCGCCATTTTGGGTGTTGATGGCCCAGCGGTGGCGGTGTGCTGGGGTTGGTACCTCTGATTTGGGCTACTTTGGTTGCCGGGATAACCCCCACCGGCAGGGGAGGGGAGAGAATGTTCCCGGCAGACGTCCGGAGTTGTGGATCACAGTCGGCTGGGGGATTGGCCGTCTCCTCCATGCCTTCTGAGTAGGCCTTGGGTCTCTCCTCTGGATGCAGTCGCCATATTTGATCAGGGTCTCGATTTAGCTGTTTCTTCATTGTGTACCCCTATTGTTGGGGTTGGAAAGCTGGCTATGTGCAGAGGATTGAAGTTTTAATTGATTTTAGGCTTTTTAACCAGGAGCTTATCTTCTGTGCGACCACTCTGTTCCCCTGAGGTTCTTTGTGGGCACGGCAAATTGTATCCCACCCGTTTCTGCCACCCCTTGCAGTGATATCACACAAGCTTTACATTTTAGCTTTATTTGTTTTGTTACTAGGTTTTTTTCCCTGTAACCATGGGGTTAAATTTACCATAACCATATAATAGGGTTCATTTTTTGGGGGGCCTGTAGATTTGCGCTAACATTTATACATTTGAAACATATGTACCATTATACTTACCATTTCCCAGCATGCTACACTTTCAATTTACTGCATGCTTACCAATTCCACATTTTCTTTTCAGAATGTATGCATGCATTTTACCTGCGTTCTGTTTTTGTTTTCATATTGCTTTGAAGTGTAATAAATGGTACGTATCATCTCCTACTAATCTTTTGAACCAGGGAAAATATGCCAACACTACATAGCTTATGCTTTCCACACTAGACTATTGTGTCATGGAACATATCCTAACTGCACAATTTATGTATGATTATGTAGCTCTTTTGAATAACCATTGGTTTAGTGCTATATTGTTATATTTTTTCAAGATTGTTTAAGAGTTGCTACGGTGCTCTGTTTAATATGGTCTATTGTGTACCTCGTATTTGCAATTTCCTCACAATAAAACCTTATTAAACGCCAAAAAGAAAAAAAAAAGATGGATGGATGGACCGAACAAGGCTTCGCTGACATCTTTTGCCTTATATGTATATATCAACCCCCCACAAATGTCCAGCCAAGCGCAGGAATGCCACTCACTACTGCCTCCAGGCAAAATTGACAATGGTTGCTGTTAGAGAATGGTAGTATATGGAAAACAGACACTGGGGTACGATAAGGTAAGGAGCAACAGAAGAGATATTAGACAGAGTGCTTGTTTGTAGAGAAAACGTAGGAGATCAATTGTAATAGCAGAGAAAGTGGTATTGTAGACCAGTTCAAAAAAAGATGACAATAGAATATATATCTATGTTAATATCAATTAGAGTGGGACGTCTGAGTTACCAGGATCCCCAAAATTCCCAGGACACCTGTAGAATTTTCAATTTGCTTGGCAGTAAAACAAATGCTGCCCTGCAGGATGTAGGATTCATATGCTAGAGGAGTGGAATTGACTACTCAAGGTATAATATTTGGGTTCCCTCCTTAATCAACTGTTTTCCGATCTGCAGGATTTTGATTTAACATACTGCAAGACAGTATTTGTCATCTGCAGCCTTGCAGCATTAATAATTTATGTGTGCCCAGGGAAACATGGGGGAACTGGTAAAGGAAAGTGAGAATATGGACTAAAAGGGCAGAGGTAAGAGTGAGCTGTAGACAGAAGAATGGGCTCATCAAGTGGTTCGGAAGGGGTCAGAGAAATAGTAAATAGCACTGAGACACAGAAATGAAAATTATTAAGTAGATGTCAGCAGAAACAAGCAAATAGTTGTCATAAAGGTCTGCAAATTCTGTACTGAAACTGGGTACAATTATAAAGTCAAGCGACTGTGATATAAGGTGGTATCTATAACCTTTAGACAAGTTCAGTATGTAAACAGTTAACTTCGAAGTTCGTATCTGTATTCATATTTTCCTAAATCTAATGTCAGGCAATAGGGGTTCGAACTAATTAATTGTTTGCCAGGAGCCAGCCACTGTTTATCAGCGGCTCGGTTTACCATGCACTAATCATTAGTGCAGTGCATTAAACAGAATTCATGTAATTCTCATACATTCTATTGATGTAAGTAGATTTGTGTTTTAAACATGTGAAAACATGTCTTAAATGCTAATAAGGACATTTTTGTTAGCCCAATAGAGGCATTAAATCCTCTAACTAAAATGGAGAATTTTTAAGTCACTCCTTGGGTCTGAAAAGTATATATTTATATGGATCATATTCCTTTCAAATGCTGGGAAATATGGACAAAAACAGGTGTCATTTATTTGAACAAGGACTAGAGCAGCGCTAAACAAGTAAGCAAACAGAAAATTGCATTAGGCTTCTCAATAAAAGCAAAAAAATTAAAGAAATCACTGTGGTACTCTGCAGATGTGGCCAAAATAGTAAAAAAACTAAAAGTTAGCATTTAGTAATTATATATAAAAAAAATAAAAAAAAACAGAGTGAGGAAGACAGAATGATCTATAAGATTAGACAGAAAGAGGCTAAGGAAGTTATAAGTGCTTCCAAATCACACACAAAAGAGAAAATAGCACAGTCCGTAAAAAAATAAATAAAAAAAAATGGGGGGACAAAACATTGTTTAGATACATAAATGAGAAAAAGAAAGTAAAACAAGGATTAGTTAGATTAAAAACAAAAAAAGGAAGGTATGTAGAAGAGGATAAATGTCTAGCTGACTGCCTCAATGAATATTTTTGTTCAATATTTACAGATGAAAATGAAGGTAAGGGGCCTCAGTTAGGAAAAAGAACAAATGAGTCATTTGTTACATGTGAGTTTACAGAGGAAGAGGTTCTATTTCAACTGTCAAAAGTAAAGACAGATAAATCAATGGGACCTGATGGAATACAGCAGGTATTAAAAGAGCTTAGTGGTGTACTAGCAAAACCATTAACAGATTTATTTAACCAATCATTGTTAGAGGACCACTATAGGCACCCAGACCACTTCAGCTCAATGAAGTGGTCTGGGTGCCAGGTCCATCTAGGGTTAACCCTGCAGCTGAAAACATAGCAGATCCAGAGAAACTGCTATGTGTACATTTGGGTTAATCCAGCCTCTAGTGGCTGTCTCACTGACAGCCGCTAGAGGCGCTTTCGCGCTTCTCACTGTGATTTTGAGAAAATGCTTTCCTATGGACTGACTGAATGCGTGCGCAGCTCTTGCCGCGCATGCGCATTCAGCGGATGATGTCGGAAGAGGGAGGACAATCTGCAGCGCCGAGGGAGCCCGGCGCTGGAGAAAGGTAAGAATGTAACCCCTTCCTCCCCCTTCAG